CTTGCATCCTTGGTCTCATAGTTTCTGAAGTACATCTATCCAGGACCTTCTGGCTTTCATGGTTTCCATAGAGAAGTCAGGTGTAAGTCTGATAGGTTTACCCTTATAAGTAACTTGACACTTTTCTTTGCAGCTCTTAATATTCTTTCTTCTGTATGTTTTGTGTTTTGATTATTATATGGCGAGGAGATTTTTTTTTTTTGGTCCTGTCTATTCGGTGTTCTGTATGCTTCTTGAACCTTCAAAGGAATATCTTTCTTTAGGTTGGGAAAGTTTTCTTTTATAATTTTATTAAATATATTTTCTGGACCGTTGAGCTGTGCTTCTTCTCCTTCTTCTATCCCAATTATTCTTAGGTTTGGTCTTTTTATTGTGTCCCAGATTTCCTGAATGTTTTGTGATGAGAATTTGTTGGTTTTGACGTTTTCATTGATCATTGTGTTTATTTTCTCTATGGTATCTTCAGTGTCTGACATTCTTTCTTCTATCTCTTTTTTTCCAGTTTTTTTAAATTTATTTATTTATTAAAGATTTCTTTCTCTTCCCCGCCACCGCCTCCCATTTTCCTCCCCCTCTCCCAATTAATCTTTCTTCTATCTCTTGCAATCTGTTGTTAGTACTTGTCTCTGTAGTTCCTGTTCGTTTACCCAGATTTTCCATCTCCATTCTTCCCTCGGTTTGTGCTTTCTTCATTGCTTCTATTTCATTCTTCAAGTTCTTGAACCACTTCCCTAACCTGTTTGATTGCTTTTTCTTGTTTCTCTTGGTTTTCTTGCGTGTCTTTGAGCAATTTATTCTTTTCCTCTATCTTTTTGTTTGTAATCTCTAATTGTTTATGGCAGTTTTTCACCTCCTGTTTAAGGTCCTCTTTTATTTTCATATAGTTCACTTTTGAGTCGATTTCTTCTATTTCTTCTGGAGTAGGCTGTACAATTCTTCTTATTTCGGGATCCCTGGATTATGTGGTGTCATGTTGCCTTTCAGGTTGTTGGAGGAATTCTTGCATTGGCGCCTTCCCATCTCTTCCTTCAAATGGAGCCAGGAGAGGCCTGGTGTCTTGGTTCAGTCTTTGCTGTGATTGACTCTCTGGGTATATCTCTTCAGTGTAGAAGCAGGAACCGTTCCCGTCCAAATGGGATTACTCAGCAACTAAACATGGCCGGTAGCCCAATGCTCCAGAGCCAAAAGGATGAATGGAGCAAGGGGGGGGGCGGTATCCAGAAGAGCACAGGAAGCCTGGCACAGGAGCTGAAGGTGCCCAGGCTCCCTAACTTGGGACCCTGAGGCCTGCCCGGTAGGCAGGCACTCACCACTCTGGGTGGGTAGCCTTATTGTAGGAGCTTAAAACTGTTCTTGAGCACTGTTCCTAGCATACAGCAGGGCAGGGTTGGGGAGGGGTGCTGGGGGGGGGTGGGTCTTGCGAAAGAAAGACAGCCCTGCAGAAGGAGGTTGGGGAGAGGGTTTGTGCTCTCTTCCGGGGCAGTCTGCCCCTGGATAGCACACACTCACCCGTCCAGATGGAATTCCTCAGCAACTAAACACGGCCCGGTAGCCCAATGATCCAGGGACAAAAGGATGAATGGAGCGGGGGGGGGGGGTATCCAGAAAAGCACAGGAAGCCTGGCGCAGGAGCTGAAGGTGCCCGGCTCCCTTACAGGGACCCTGAGGCCTGCCCGGTAGGCAGGCACTCACCGCTCTGGGTGGGTAGCCTTAGTGTAGGAGCTTAAAACTGTTCTTGAGCACTGGTCCTAGCATACAGCAGAGCAGGGTTGGGGAGGGGTCCTGGGGGGGTGGGTCGTGCGAAAGAAAGACAGCCCTGCAGAAGGAGGTGGGGGAGGGGTTTGTGCTCTCTTCTGGGGACAGTCCGCCCCTGGATAGCACACACTCACCCATCCAGATGGAATTCCTCAGCAACTAAACTGGGCCGCCAGTAGCCCAATGATCCAGGGCCAAAAGGATGAATGGAGCAAGGGGGGGGGGGGGGTGGTATCCAGAAGAGCACAGGAAGCCTGGCGCAGGAGCTGAAGGTGCCCGGCTCCCTTACAGGGACCCTGAGGCCTGCCCGGTAGGCAGGCACTCACAGCTCTCCATGTTTGATACTTTTTAAAATCTTTTTTGAGAACTATGTGGAAATACTTAGCCCCACAATGGATGCCATTTGTAAGGAGTCTTTCTCTGATTTATTATCCAGCCTCCCAATAATGACATAAAGACTTTTATCAATTATGAATAATCAGCATATAGGTGAGGCTTGTTTCTATCTAGTTTGTAGAGCTTAAATTTACCTATTTTATTTATCTATGTCATGTCATATGGTTCAGTTACCTCTTTTCTGTTCTGCACCTTTGAATTGCTCTAAGTCTTCTAGAATCTCTATGGCACACTCTGCATGATTAGATCTTTCTCCCTTTCTTCTCTCTTCCCCCAGTAATCCTGCCTATCTCTCTTACCTAGCTATCATGGCATAATCTTTCATCCATCTTCCAGCTCCAGTGTTCTGTCAGTGTCTAGTGTCTGACTGGTGACTCTGCCTTTCTTCTTCCTAGAGTTCTCTCTCTGCCCTGATGTCCTACCTATACCTCCTGCCAGATCTTGGCCATTAAGCCTTTAATTACACCAATCAAAGCAAAACTTTGTAACACAGTGTAAAAATATCCCACAACAAAACTGATACCTACACATGAAACAATAAACCTGTGAATAAATGTAGGAATTAACCTATTTTAGCGTTAATGTGGACAGCAGACAACAATACCAAGTATTTGCAGAATGTATTTACAGATATAGCACAGAGCAACAACAGTCTTGGATCCCTGACCCTATCTCAGACACCATGAAGGAAATACTACCCCTGCAATAATCCTTCCCAAGGGTAGGTTAAGGCACTGAACAAAGTTAGCTTCTTTTCTTGAATAAGGAACTGTCTGCATTTTGGGAACTTTCATTTTGGGGAAGTTTGATTTTGATGACCTTCACAATTTAGATGCAATGTATTAACCATATGAAAAACATGAGAGCAGAGAGGGGCCGTTTAACCATAACATTTACATAACCAAATCCCTCTTGCATGCCAACTACAATGTAAAACTGTCTGAAGGTTAATCATTTCTTGTACATCCAAATACCAGGCAATCATGAACTTATGAATATGGTGAAAATGACACTGATATTAGACAATCAGGATGGTGCTGAGGCTCAGAGTTGAGATGCCAATAACACTAATTTAGAATAGACATTTATAATTGAACAGGCATTAAATTAATTTCAGCCTTTACAAAAACCAGAAGGATTCTGAACAATAAAAGAGGAACACAAAAGAAGAGAGAATGCTGAGAGTTTGTTCCTATGTTAGTCATGTATGTTGGTAAGAAAAGAGCAATCAATCTTTGAGGGATTATTTTTTCATTATCATGGATTATTTAGCAGAATAGAATCAAATGAAGCCATGAGTATACCCCGTTTCTTTCTCTATTTTCACGCATGTCTTCTCCATGTTCATGCAGGAGAAATAAAGGGTCATGTGCTCAGTATGTCCCTTCTCTTCTCCATGACCCCAGCAGCATCAGCCTGCATTTTTCTTTGTTGTAGAACACTGCTCTTCACCATGGAAATATTCTGGTCCTATTGAAGTCTCTGTAGCTGTTACTACACACAAGTGACCTGTAGAACATTGGTCCCATCAGTCATCTTTCTTGGTGTTGAGGCTCCTAAGGTCACCCCCTTCCCATCAGAACTATAGGCAGTTAAACGTTGCAAGCATTTTTTTTTTAAGTGGCATAACCATTGAGATGTTTCCAATATTTCCGGGCATAGCAGAGCACACTGTTCTCAACAGTTGGGTGTGAGACTGGTTGTTGATTCAAGTCTGGTCTACAGAGAGAGTTCCAGTACAGCCAGTGATCATAGTAAGACCCTGTCTAAACATTCAAATAAACAAAAACAAAACACAAAAATTCCAACATTGATGACAAGCTTCTACAGGGCCATAATGTAACTCATTGTTTCACCAGCTAGATTTGTATGGAGTCTTGTCTTTGTTTTTGTTACCATTGTTCCATATGACCTGTGTAAACATTGTTCTTGTATCCCTAGGAAACATTGATACAACATCCCAAAGCATCTTACAGACACGTTAGGAAACTGACCATGAGATTGGTCTGTATGAAGGAGTAAAGGAGAACCAAGAGCTAAGAGAAAAAGAACAAGCACCATATCCCTCAAGTGAAGGTGCTAGGTCTGGAAACCAGCAGGCTTATTTTGTGTTAAGTCCTGGTCTGTGATGACTGAGAGCATTTATCCAGATGGAGATGGTTACAGTGGAGATGTTCTGCAGGAAGAGACCACAGTCAAACTTGGGTTTGTAATACTTGTATACAGAATGCTGAGGAAAAAGAAGGAGAAATCTGAGACCTGGATCAGGTTTAAGAAGTTCTGTCCCAGAAACAAAAACAAAAACTAAAGAACCACAGAGAGATAGAAGCCACAAAATCTTTAGCCCAACCCATCATAGCCCAGGAAGAAAAGAGTCAGGCAGTAAGTTAGAACAGTTCCTCTTTCAGGGGCTGCCAGTATGACAACCTCAGGACTGGAACCAGAAACCAGTTTGCATAGGCCACACATTTTGTGTTTGGGTGTTTGGAAAGGAGATCATCTGTCTGCAAACTTGTGTCAACTGGAAGATGCCATGACCCCATTTCTTATAGTGCTACTGTTTCTTGGTGAGATACCACCTGGGGAGGGAGAAATATTCTCTGAGAGGGAATCCACCTCACAATCATGATTTGTGCAATTGAGATGTCTCAGCAGCTCCAGAAGGCACTGGGAAATGGAGGTCGTGCTCATGTTTCATTGTAAACACTCTCTTCCAGGACAGAGCCTGAACCTCTGGAACCCAGCATCAGCAGGTAAGTTTCTTCCCAGCAATACTAGTTTGGACATCCTTATTGGGGATAAAAGGGCACTCATGAGCAGAGCAGATGGAGAACAGCAGGGATTGCATGATGTTGGGGATCCGTGAAAGGTTCTGGGACAAAAAGCTTGTATTAAAGGGGGAGTTCTGGGGAACCAATTGTCAATTTCTTTCAGGGGTCCTCTCTAAACCTACACTGAGAGCAGTGCCAGGAAATGTGGTAGCCACTGGGAACCAGGTGGCATTCTTGTGTGAAGGGCCCTCAGAGGCCAAAGAATATCGTCTCTACAAAGCAGGAAGTCATGAATACCTGATACCAACAGCCCTTCTAGAAACTGAGAATAAGGCCAAGTTTTCTATCTCTTTGGTTCAATGGAACAATGCAGGCCAATATTGGTGTTCTTATACAAGCACCAGTGGCTCATTAGAAAACAGTGACATCGTGGAGCTGGTGGTGACAGGTAACAGAACCCTCCCTCAGCCCCTGGATTTGCCTTAAGGGGGCTCCTTTCTCAAATATGAGAAGTGGGGAACAATGTTTCTCATGAAAGTTCACCTAACAGGCTTTCTCTGCTCTCCTAGGAGTTGACCCCAGCAATGTCACTCTGTCAGCCATTCCCAGCCCTGTGGTGACTTCAGGAGGGCGAGTTACCCTTAAGTGTGAGTCACAAGAGCCGTATAATATGTTCATTCTAATGAAGGATGGTGAGAAGTTTTTGAGTCCTAAACCCTCACAGAAAATATACTCTGACATATTTAGAGCCCTGTTCTTGGTGGATCCTGTGACCCCCAACAAGAGGTGGAGGTTCACATGCTATGGTTATTACTTGAGCAGCCCTCAGATGTGGTCAGTGCCCAGTAACCAACTGGAGCTCCTTGTATCAGGTAAGGAAGTGCAGTACGTTCTTTTCAGTATAATTGCAATTGACACAGGGTCCCTGGAAAATACCTGATTTGTGCTGGGTGGTTGACAGCCAGGGCTACTGGACTCAGTGTCACAGAATTTCTGATACAGCTGGTCTTGAAGTGTAGAAACTATGGATGATACTTAGATAGTGAAATCTAAGATTCATGTCAATGTATGGTCCTTATGTGTACCTCTGATATTGAAGATCAGCTTATGTGTTAGGGGCAATTGTGACTTTCTCTGTGACATTTTAGTGACAAATGCACCTACTTTCTTCCTACTTCTTTGCAGGGACCCTTGAAAAGCCCACCATATGGGCTGACCCAGGCTCTGTGATCACCTCAAGGAGTTTTGTTACCATCTGGTGTAAGGCAACACAACCAACCCTAATCTATGTGATATATAAAGAGGGAAGCCCAGATCCTCGGGACCAACAGAACCAAATAGTCTACAATAATAATGCAAATCTCACCATTTCATCTATGACAGAATTGAATGCAGGGAGATATCACTGCTACTCATACACCTCTGCTGGATGGACAGAACGCAGTAACAGCTTAGAGCTGGTGGTGACAGGTGAGAGAAACTCAAAAATCCTTGCCCCAGAAGTCACTCTCCTGAAACACTGCTAAGCACTATTTCCCACAGGAGGAAAGCCATGGGCGGCAATTTAGACTGTGTGGTCAACTTTTATTTTCCGTGTGTATTTCTTTTAGGAGTCTACAACAAACCCATACTGTTGCCACTGCAAGACCCTGTTGTGACTGTAGGAATGACTGTGACACTCTCTTGTACCTCAAATCATTCATACAACTGGTTCATTTTAACTAAGGATGATCAGAAGTTCTTGCGCAGTCAGTGTTCACAAGATAAAGACACTAGGTTATTTCTTGCCAAGTTCCAAGTGAAACCATTGGCCGTCAGCCAAAGGTGGATGTTCAGATGCTATGGCTATTACACAAGTAATCCTCAGGTGTGGTCAGAAGGAAGTGATGTATTGGAACTTCTGATCTCAGGTGAGGGTACCTCAAGGTCTCTGTAGAATCATATTCTACTAGACACAGGATTCCAGTTTAGATCATGGTGTTCATGTGTTTGAGGATTCAGGGTTCCTGAGTCAGTGGACACAGTATGCAGACCATGAGAGTCACTGTATAGATAATGAGGGGGGAGCATAATAGGAATGGAACCTGGGAGGGTCAGGAGAATGATGTGTCTTCCCATGACATTATTTGTTCTTTTTCTTTTTTTTCTTATAAATATAGTCATTTATTTTTTTTATTTAAATTTATTTATTTATTAAGGATTTCTGCCTCGTCCCCACAACCGCTTCCCATTTCCCTCCCCCTCCCCCGATCAAGTCCCCCTCCCTCATCTGCTCGAAGAGCAATCAGGGTTCCCTGACCTGTGGGAATTTAGGGGTAAAGTTCAAGATCAAGAGCAAGTTTGATCTTTACTCTGAAACTGTTTGATTGGCCCCACATCCTTCTCTTCTACTTCCTTGTAGGAAAACTTAAGAAACCCACTTTGAGGGCTGAGCCAGGAGCTGTGATTGCCTTAGGGAATAGTGTGACCATCTCGTGTGAGGGGACCAAGGGAATGCAATCAATGTATTTCCTCTATAAAGAAGGAAGCCCAGCACCCTGGGACAGTCAAACTCCAAAAGATCCTAGTAACAAGGCCATGTTCTCAATAGCATCTATGGAACAGCATCATGCAGGAAAATATCGCTGTTACACTTACAACTCTGCAGGTTGGTCAGAACGCAGTGACATGCTGGAGCTGGTGGTGACAGGTGAGAGGACACTAAGTGTCACAATCTTTGGCTCTGTCCTCAGGAATAATCTTCCGTAGGTGTGCTTCCTCAGCTTTTCTGCTGGAGATGCTATGGGCTGTCTTTCATTAAACAGGCTGCCTCTTCCTCTCCTAGGTGTTCACCATGTTAAACCTACTCTGTCAGCTTTGCCCAGCCCTGTGGTGACTCCAGGTGGTAACGTGACCATTAAGTGTGTCTCATCTAATGGATATGATAGGTTTATTTTGACTGGGGCAGATCAAAATTTCACCAAGTCCCAAAAGGCACAGTTTATACACACTGGACAGTCCCTAGCTCTGTTTCCTGATATCACTGTGGCATCCAGCAAGAGTGGTCCCTTCAGATGTTATGGACATTATACAAATTCCCCCCATGTGTGGTCAGAGGCCAGTGACCCTTTGGAGATACATGTCTCAGGTAAGGAAGTCTCATTTACTCAACTGTTTGTCACCAGAAACCCTTTGTCATATGTTGTGCTGTTTCGAGGAAAGTTTAAATCCATGATGGCTAAAGGAAACTGTTGAGTGCTAATGGCCATGGCACTGTAGGGCAGGATGGGATGTGGAATGTATAGAAAGATACAGCTGTATGACTTCGTGAGTCTCGTGCTCTTAGGATTGTCAAAGAATCTCTCTCTGCCAACCTTCAAAGGCCCTGTCCTGGATTTTGGAGAGAACAAGATCCTCAAGTATTCCTCTGAGATAAGTTATTACAGATTTGCTCTGTGTAAGAAGGGGGAAAGTGGCCTCACCCAGGCCTCTGTCCATCAGTCTCAGGATGGACATTTTCATGACAATTTCACATTAGGCTCTGTGAATTCCTCCATTGGTGGTCAGTATAGATGCTTGGTGCACGCAGTTCCTCCTCTGAGTGGTCAGCCCCCAGTGATCCTCTGGACATCCTGATCACAGGTAAGGATTTTAGTGCATTCAGTTGGGACCTATCTTGGCACAGGATAAGCTGGGAGGAGACCTGGAATTCATCATCAAGAGGATGATGAATATCTCACAGAGAAATAGGTCCAGGTACAAGGATTGCACAGTCTGTTAAAATATAGAGAGACTAGGTTCTGAAATGGGGACTCAGACCAATGGTTGCAGTCCTTCACTCACCAATTTTCATCTCGTTATGCTACTCTGCAATTATACCAAATTTCTCTGTGCATCCAGGCACTATTGTTTCCTTAGGAGAGAATTTGACCCTGCGGTGTCAATCATCAGTCCTAATGGATACTTTCCTTCTGTTCAAGGAAGGTGCAGCCCATCCCTATTTGCATCAAAAATCACAGTCTCAAAATCAGTCAGAATTCTCCATGAGTGCTGTGATCTCAGCTCTTAAGGGTTTCTATGTATGCTTTGGTTCCCAAAGCTCATCCCCTTGCTTGTTGTCATACCCCAGTGTCCCTGTGGAGATCATAGTTTAAGGTGAGATGATCCAGACCTCTTTGAGCTCAATTAATACAGGATAATTGACCTAGGAATTGACCTAGAAATTTAGAATTAAACGGTTCCTTCTTAATTAATCATCATCTCACCTTCTGCATGGGAGTCCAGAAGATTTCTGGTAGGAATTCTCATTTACTCAACATTTGGCACCAGAAACCCTTTCTATAACTGTTAACTAAGAATCATAATCTTTGTCTTTTAGGAGTCTACAACAACCCATACTGTTGACACTGTAAAACCGTGTTGTAAACTTAGGAGTGTAAATTGCATGGTTCCATGTAAACTTATTCATATGCCTGTATAATATTATTTTGTTATGTTCACATGCATTTATAATTGCAGAATTCGATACAATTTTATATGGTTTTATATATATATATATATATATATATTATGTGACTTACTAATATATGAGTGTTCCATTTAAATCATTTCTATCTTTTCCATTCTTCCTCTCACTCTTTCTGTGTTTTTCAAACCTTATAAAATTTGTTTGCCCCTGATTTTTAATTGTTATTGTTTTACAAAACACACACACGAACACATAAATGCACATCATACAGCCTAGCTTGAGATTCTTTTGATTCTTCCATTTTCTAGCCTTGTCTCTAAATGGTTTTATCTGAAGACCTCACAGATTCACCATGTGGTTTGTCTCCACTTCCTGTTGTCCACTAGTTGCCATCTGATTTTTTTTTAGTTTGATCTGACTTCAGGACATACAGAGGAGGAAGAGACTATAGAATCCATTATTCTATAGTCATTATTCTGGTCTTCTTTAGGCAACTATACTTTTGAAATTTCATGGGTTTAGCTTCCTTCTCTTGCCTTGAAGTCTCTATTGTGTAGCAGGAATCTTGTTTCTCTGGCTGTTGTAACCTTTCTACTTCTCTTCTTTATATTTTATATACACAATTTGTGTTGTAGGAGTACCCATTTGGACTGGGCAACCAAGCCACCTTATTTCTGTTTTGACCAGTTGTGAATTTTTATAATCATCCTCATCTGTAGAAAATATGCATTTTTGATGAGGGGACAGAGCTAAACTTACCTGTGGATATAAGGATAAGCACTTAGAATGAAGTCAGAAATCACATTGGTTTAGGAACATGGAAGTATTGCTTTCTAATCTAGAGTCCATAACCTCTCCAGACACAGGTATAAGTAATATATTTTACTTCCATGTTGGTCTCGTATTCTTTGATGATTTAGCTTACCTTCTTATGAGAACATATCTACTTCATGGACATTGTGAGCACATCTTTAAGTTCTTGTGGTTGAACTCTTTGTGTTACTAACAATGTGATGATTAGAGAATGAGATGTTAAACATCATGGGAACTGGGTGACTTGAGTGCAGGAGGAGAACCCAGACTGTCACTATTTCGTGCAACTCATATTCATGGGACCCCGATGACAAGACATTGTCTGCATCTTGGGATCTCAGCCGGTGAATGAGTGAAAACCAATTTCCAAGGAAATTAGCTTCCAGGATTCTTTACTACAGCAGAGCCTCTTTATTTTAAACTGGGAGGGTGTAATTTTCCATCTTAGCTTTCTGAAAAACAATACACTTGATTCCAAAGAAGAACTTTGGCCACAAGTTCTGAACTCAGAGCATAGTCATACTGAAGTAATCAAGCAAAAGCCCAGGAGAAAGCCTGCTATAGCAGAGAAATGGTTTGTTCCAGATCTTCATTATAGCTGTCATGAGTATAATATGCATTTCTGGGAAATAAAAATGCACAGCTTCACAAAAGAATCAGTTCTCTTGAGCACTTCACACGTGGATCATGCCGTTGTTTCTCAGAAGTGCCTGAGACCACCAGCCAGCCACAAAACATGTCAGAATTCACAATAGGTGAGTAAGGAAAATTCTGGTTTGGGTATGGACACCGAAGGTCAGATTGCATACACAGGAGGGAGCTACTCAGAGTGGAAATACAGATTTATTATGGTGGCTTTGTATGGTCCTGACTGTTTGTCCACAATCTCCAGTCCCACAGCCTCAAGATCACACAGTGGAGAACATCATTCGGATGGGCGTTTCTGGTTTGATTCTCACAGTTCTTGGGATTGTGCTGTTTGGGACTTGCCCCAGCCAGAGAAGACCTTGATTGCACCCTAGAAGTGAGGACGAGAGATGGCCACAGGCTTACATCATTACTATCTGAAAAATTAATTTGTTAATATTTAGTGGTTTTGTTTACAAGAAAACTTAATGTTTAAAATGAGAATGAATTATGAGAAAAGATTCAGGAATCACATGTGTTTTGGATGCAGGAAAGCATCAAAATGTTGGATTGGATAGCTAGCTCTTTTATCACCACGTTAAGGCTTGTACCCTCTATTTTACTGTGGACTTTGAAGAATTATTTCCTTGGTCTCTATTTTAGAGGGGAACTTATTGTCCCTTTAGTATGGTTTGGTCCTGATCTTTACATATCTTCTGTTTTCCCCAGTTTCTTGTCATACTTTACTTTATTATAAATCATCACATTCCCTATTAGGAACATCTGCTTTGGTGTAAGTTTTTACTACTATGAATATAGAATTTGACTCAATAAGAACAACAAAAAATTAATGGACACAATTCAGATTCCCATATTCTAAAATAACCGAATATAAATGATGCTCCCAAATTCTGTACTCTCACTTAGGTATCCTATTACCCACACTCATTGTGAGTTTTCTGCTAATTTATAAAAACATTGCTGTCTAGTGTTTAAAGGAACTATCTGGTGGGACACTCTTGATGTAGTTTCAAAAATATTCTCTTAATTAGGGCTGCTCTATGACATTTGCTGATTGATGTGTATACTCTTTTGAATGGATACCTTGATGTCCCACCTTCTTCCTGTATTCCAAGGTCAGTTAGTTCCATAATGCGAACAACAAGGAGCAGTGAAAACAGCAGACATGGCCCCCTTACCATCTTTGCTGTTTCTGTGTGAGGAGGAAGAACACCACCAAATGCTGATAAATCATTGCATTCTCACAATAAAAGATATTTGTTCAGTCCTCAATTAATTATTTGAAACCTTTGAGATCCATGAAAGGAGACATTTGTCTTATGCATCCCAGCTGTTTTGTTAAGGTTAGTTGTGTACACTCCATTTTTACAATCCCTTGTTCTCATTAATTGTATGAAAACTGGAGTATGTACTTGGGACTCTGAAAATGCATAGACCAAGAGAGATAAAACTAAGACACTGTCAAGAGGGATATGGTAAGAATGAGGACTTAAAATAATCAAGTCAGCACAGAGGTATAGAGGTCCTGGTCAGACCATCATGGCTCCTGAACTTTCAATATGTTTCTTATGCATTATCTTCATCAAGGTGATTGATGTGGGAAGTCACATTTTAACTATGATAGGAACTATTTTTGGGACAAGGAGATACTGGTGTGTATAAAACGAAGAAGTGAACTCAGCACCAGCATGTATTCATTCATCCTTCTCTGCTTCTTGTATGTGGATATAAAGCTTCTAGCTGCTTTAAGGGTATGTTGACTTGGTATCTCTTTTAATCAACTGTACCCTGGAGCTGTGAGCTGCATAAGTATTTTCTGCATTAAGCTGCTTCCACTTCTGATGTTTTTATTTTATCACAGTAGCAGGAAATGTAACACAGAGAGATCTATGATCCCCTCACTTAACAATATTTGCGTGTTGACCACTCAGGGTTATGCCTGTTTTCTACAGGCAACCACACTTACTATGAGCACATTCCTACACTGTGACATGTGTTCAGGCAATGGTATTTGACAGCACTACTCTTCTTCCCCCACCTTTCTTCTTTAGCATTCCCTGAAACATGAAAAGGGGTATACAGATGTGCTGATTAGGTCAAAGCATTCCATGGCCACCCATTTTCCATACATTTACAAGCTACAAGTTTGTACTATCAATATATTATTGACAATTGCATACACAGATGTTTGACTAACACTGAGCCGAGTACTAATCCCTTCATTTAAACATAACTAATGCAGTATGACACCATGTGAATTAAGCAAAAATAAGAGTAGCAGATTCTACACAAGCGTGTATAATGCTTCCTGCTGTGGATTTTTGACCCAGTATTATAGTACAAGGCATAGATGCTATTCTGTTGAACGTAATTCATATAACATAAGAAAACAGTCATGTAGTACAATTAATAAAAACCTAGAGATATAAAATGGGGTCCAACCTGAATGTCAGAAAAGCAAAAGAGCCAGTCACTGGCTCTTACCTCTACCTCAACCCGAAATGATGATCCTTCCTCCCGGAATCGCAGAATGAAACTGTGTGTAAGAACTGTCTTCTCCTGATTTATATTCCTCCCTAGTGCTAGGAATAATGGTGTGCACCATTACTGCATGTTTTCTATGGCAAACTAGTGTGGCTACTGGGAATAAAGGAGTGTGTCATCAAGCCTGGTCTATAAGGCTGATCAGTATGGCTGTTTTACTCTCTGAACTTCAGGCAAGCTTTATGTATTAAACCACAAATGAGCCATCACTATACAGTCATGTCACTGCTGCGCCAGTAGGCAGGTGGAGCCTTTCCAGGAGGTATTATAGGTCATAGTCTTCATAGATGGTAGGATCGTTGTTGACTTTCCTCCCTTAGCAGTCTACACAACACATTCTGGATTATAAATCTAGTGAAAATAGGAAACATCCAGATAATTTTTCCAGTTTATTTCTTAATGATCTGCAACCAAAGTTCATGATATCTTCATTATTTGATGAGAAACCAAAATTGATGACAGTACTTTGTACCATTTTTGTTGGTGTTTCTGTGTTTCCCTTGACTGACAATTCTGACTCTGAAATTCCTGATCCTGAAAGTTCTGTTTAAAAAACAGTTGCTTCAGCAGAAGGAGGGAGAACATGAGCAAAGAAGTCAGGACCACGAGGGATGCAACCACCCACTGAGACAGTGGAGCTGATCTATTGAGAGCTCACCAAGACCAGCTGGACTGTGACTGAAAAAGCATGGGATAAAACTGGACTCTCTGAACATGGCGAACTATGAGGGCTGATGAGACGCAAAGGACAGTGGCACGGGGGTTTGATCCTACGTTATGTGATGGCTTTGTGGGAGCCCAGCCAGTTTGGATGTTCACCTTCCTAGATATGGACGGAGGTGGGAGGTCCTAGGTCTTACCACAGGGCAGAAAACCCTGACTGCTCTTTGGACTGGAGAGGGAGGGGGAAAGGAGTGGGGGGAGGGGGAGAAGGGTGGGAGGAGCGGGCGTAGTGGGGAAGGAAGGGGAGGGAAGTGGGAGGCTGGGAGGAGGTGGAAACTTGTTTTTTTTTTCTCCTTTTCTCAATAAAAAAAAACAAAAAAAAAACAGTTGCTTCTGGGAATTATCCATCTAAGCAATTATCTACTATTTCAACTCTTTTTAAATTTTATTTAAATTTTATATATGTAGATGATAAAATACCGTGTTTCTACAATCTTTTCAATTAAACCTTTGTTTTTTTAACCCACTCTATTGACTTTTTCTCAAAGTCAGAATTGAAAGCCAGATTGTGAAAGTCGTCCAATTCACCAGACTGATAGATTCCTACAGCAACCCAGAAAGAAAGGGAATTGGCATAATCTTACCCTGTGGAAGGAGCAAGGAGTTTATGGTCTACTTGAGGTTGAATAGTTTTGTGTTATCCTTTTCTTAAATGGAAGCTTGAAACATTCGTCAAGTGAGCATAGCACCTGGAATCTTAAGATAGAATCTGCAGTGCATGAGAAGAAGCTGTGATAAGCAGGTTAGGGATGAGGAAGAAGCATTGATGAGGTTTAGATGAAGAAGGTTGATAAGGAGAAGAAGCCTTCTCTAGCAATGAGGAAGTCAGTGCAAGAAACTTACTGGAAAGTAAAGCACAAACCAGACCATGAGGTGGGTGAACTTCCTTCAGTAGGTCAGTTATGTCTTGTCAGCATTTCCAGATCTCCTTCTCCTATGATCTTCTGTCTTGTAATGGTCCTATTTACTCCTTAGTCAACCCAGGAAGACTGTGATCTTTAGCTCTTGTTTCCCCACTATTACTGCTATTAACTCTATAAAAATTCTGTCCTGACAGATGTCCCTGTTGCTGTCTTCCAGTTCCTGTGCTAACTTTGAAAGGCTACTCTCTAACCTGTTGACTACAGGTTGCTCAGGGTACTCCAGAATTCTAGTGTTTGTGAACCATCACCCATTCTGTGATTTAGTGATTCAGCTACCTTTTAGTTCTTTCTGTTTCTGTAACAACTCCCAACGTTGGTTTTCTCCTCATTTTAATCACTATAATCTATCATATGTTCCCTATCCAGCATGAACAGATGTTTGTTCATAGCTCCCAGGGAATAGTTTCATACACTGGGCTTGCCTATCAAGTTTCACATGCTGGCATATGGACTTCAAGTGTGTGTGTACAGTTCGGAGAGATCTTTAACGTCATGCCTAAATTGAGAACACTAAATACATATGAGTATTATCCTACCAAGTTATTACTGTAACTCTCTGAGACCCCGATGACTTCTTATTGGAATATATTGGAACACAATTCAATGTCTACAATACAGTTTTCTTTTCTGTACCTGGGCATTTCCTTTTAGCTCCTCTAGCATTTAGTAGCTCAGAAAACAGCATTGTCATCATCAGAGGATGAGCAGGTGAAGTTACCTGATGCTGAACTTACATCTTCCAAAATTATTAACTAAGTTAACCAGGTTTCTTTATAATGATAGAGTGTTAATGGTCATGTTTTAAAAATAGAAAGTGAGCAGATACATATTTAAGGGAAAATAAAGCTTGAGATTGGCATTTTTGTTGTAAATCAGTAGATATTGAGATGGAGCTAATACTTTAGTTTACCTATATGAAGTGCTGGCTGTTCTCCTGCCAGGGGCGGGGGTACAGTGTGATTTTTAAACTGAAACTGTGTATTTGGACCTCCCTTTGGACTGTCATCTCACAAATATGACATGTAGAGGCTGATTATTAACTATGCTAGCTCAACCATACAATAAGCATGTCCCACTAGCTCTTATAACTTAAATTAACCTATATTTTTGTTAATCTACATATTACCACAAGAATTTTATCTCTCTCCCATTATGTGTGTTCAACTCAATCTACATCTTGATGATATCTCCTGCATTAC